TAGAATATGAGATATGGAATGTTCGAACCTGTCTCACCTCTTAAGCTGCTAGTGAAATGATAAAGTTTTTTTTTTAATTTACAGATAAATAAAAAAATCACTTTTCTAAAAAAAATAACGTTTCTTCAATTAATTTGTAAAAAAAATTATGTTCTAAGTTCGTTAAAATAATGAATATGTAAAAAAATAAAAGGACCACCGAAATATAACCATTTTTTCATATTTTCCTTTGTATAATGTTTACAAAAAATTTAAATAAAGGGTTCTTTATTATTTTCTAATTAACTATGCATTTATATGAAAAAATTACTCTTTTTCAGTAGAGATCACACAGAAAAACCGCACACATCTTTGGTAAAAAGCACTATTATTACGAGAAATTGCATTTTGTGACCAGCGAAGTCAAGCTTAAATATGTTTTTTTCCTCCCCCATTCAGGCGGATTATTAAAAGATCTCTTTATATAGACTAAAGTAGTATTAATATTGAAAAAATGACAAAAAACATATATTAGAACATAGAATATAGAAATTTATTAATAGTTTTGTATTTATTAAAATGGCGTGTACTTAAAAATGTTTACTATTTCCGATAAATCCTATTATTATCAAATGTCATGATAATCGTTTTAACCTAAACATGCATCTAACGACTAAAGCAATATACATATAAGAATTTATTAAATATTCGAGTGATAACATAAAATTATAAAACACTACAAAAAACCTATCAGTTAACTTTTGATAGAAAAAAAAAACAAAAAAAACGTAATCAGCAAAACATCTAGACTGTATGAAATATAAGACGTTTTTTTTTCGTATAAATATTCCCAAATGGCAAAAAAAAAATCCGCCTGGATGGTGTCATTAATTAGGTAAAGACCCATTAACACAGACTTCACCTAAAATATCCGATACTGGACTCTGTCTGGAAGAAGGAGGTGAGACAGGGTATTCTCCATATTCATGATTCTGAAGTAGTTTGGTCTGACTAGCGAAAGTATCGAAATCATCAGCTAGATATGACATAGAAGTAACAATATCAACAACACCATTCAGTTTTATATTATCATGTTTTATGTTATTTAGTTGTCTATGACGTTCGCAGATACGGTTGATAAGGTGATAGCAGGGTGTGGACTTGGGTGTCCCGTTCCGTGGCGGTCTGCCACGTCTCTTACCTGACCGTCCGCAGTCAGAGCAACTGACTAACTTCTCTGGCGTGCCCGTCTTCTTGTTCTCACGATCATCGCCCAAACAAAAGTCGCAATATGGCGATGGTGACGCCTAGAAAAAAAATCAATGAGTACAAGAACATCGTATAATTTTTATTACACGTTGACTTTAAAAGAGACAAAATTCCATAACATGACGAAAAAATATAAACACATAA